CAGCATGGCCACGCTTTCCTGACGAGGCATGAGGCAGGCCAAGAGCTTTGCACAGCCTACAGGGAAGTGGGAGGGAGGCAGTCTTCGAGCCAGCGTGTCTCGTCCGTTTCTCCCTTGCCGCTTGGGCGGAGGTGGGAAGGGAGCGAAACGTTCCTGGCTGAAGGTTTTGCGCTCAGCCTTGAGGATTAAGCCTGAGCCTCCGCATGGCTGCTGGGAGATGGGTTTCTGAATGGCATCCAGCCCGCTCTTCGGGCCACCAGCTGAAAGCACTGAGGCCAAGAGGGATGGTTCTGAGGCGGCAAAAGGGGGCCTTTGAGGCTCCCAGCAGGTCTTGAGGAGCAAGGAAAGAGCGCAGGCTCACCACCATCCTTTCGGTTAACGGCCAAACACGCTGACCCATTGCGCCACAGAGACAGGTAGATATAGGGCAAGATTGAGCACAAAAGTCGGGATTCAGCTCAGGGTAGGGTATACCATAGCTGTGCAGTGGTTAGACAAGAAACAGCAAGGGACTGGACTGGTATGGAGTGAAATTGTATCTTACGTATGCCTGATGACTGTACGTTTGAGATAGTTCTGTGGGAAGGAGCAGAAAAGAGCACTGGGGCTTCAGTATAGCGCTTGTGTACGCTTTCTTTGACCTGTTTTGCTGTAAGAGTTAACAGGGAGAGATTGTTAGTCGCAGGTCAGTGGGTGGGTATATGCAAATTAGGAGTGTAAAGGGGAAACCAGCGAGAGGAAGGAGGCTGAAAGACTTCTCTGCCTTTTGAACAGAATTGTGTGTTAAGGGTTCTTGCTTTGAATTCCTCCACTGGAGTCATTTCGGGGAAGTGATCCACACTAGTTACCTAGTGCTCAAAGTCACGTGACTGGTGTTTGGTGCCTGTCTGGGAGCTCGTCATGGTGAGGTTGAAAGCGGTAGGGGCAGAGGGTCTGTGTAGCGTCGGGCGGTATCAGCATTGCTTCTCTGCTCCTTGGAGCTAAGCTCAAAGTGTAGTTCTTTGAGCTGTGGTCAAGTGAAAAATTCTCTAAGTTATATCAGTTCTTATCAGTTTAATTTCTGATATGTTCTTTATTTGAGAACTGTATGTTAAATTGATTTTTGAAATGGGGGGCTGGAATAGGAGCTTGCTCTGTCCACCCCATGCATTGACCTGGTATTGCAGTGTTTCCAGGACTGGTGCATCTCCTTTGGGGGAGAATGTTCTGGTTAGAAAAGCAGAAACCGTTTTACTGGGGTGATGATACTTTTTGGAAGCAGTTTTTTTTTCTTCAGGTGGTTGAAAGATATGAAATCTCTAGCGTTTCGGTTTCTTTATGAGGAAGTATTGTTACAATTTCTTGGGAGCATTCTGTGAGTCTATAAACGTGAGCTTCTTCGTCACCCCAACTGAAAAAAGATATATTGGAATGGGGAAGATTCCGGGGGGGAAAAGGGCAACCAAAATGATGAGGGGATATGAAACAGCTTCTGTAGAAGAAGAGATTAATGAGATTGGGACTTTTGAGCTTGGAAGAGAGATGACTAAAGGGGGATACGATGGATGTCTATAAAATCATGACTGGTGTGGAGAAAGTAAATAAGGAAGTGTTATTTCCTCCTTCTCCTAACACAAGATCTAGGGGTCACCAAATGAAATTAATAGGCAGCAGGTTTAAAACAAAGAAAAGGAAGTATTTCTTCACACAACACACAGTCAACCTGTAGAACTCTTTGCCGGAGGCTGTGGTCAAGACAGGGCTCAAAAAAGAACCAATTGCTTTCTTTTGTTAGACCAGCAGGAAGCGCAAACGCACCAAGGACTACATTAGGGAAAAAGAGAATAAAGGAGCCAGGCAGCTCTCCTTGAGTCAAGCCAGAACACAGAAACCAAGCCACTCTAGAGCAAGCTGCAGAACAGAGCAATTATAAAAGAGAAGGAACAGAAAATGACAGAGTTTTAGCATAGGCTAAGGAAGAGCTGTAGAGAGCTCCAAAGAGCACTATCTGTGATTTTTCTTCCCTTGACCAAGTACCAGGGGAAAGCATGAACGCAGTTCCCCACTACCACAAAGTCTGCAGTTGAGTTTCCTGCATTTGGGGAAATCACAGGGGTCAGCACACCCACAGTGCAATGGATGAGCCTCACCCAGGGAAAACCACCTTGATGATCATGGTATCTTTGAGCTGTGGTCAAGTGAAAAATTCTCTAAGTTCCTAGCGCCCAGTGGCCGCCCGCCCTCACTCACCCCACACTCTCCACCCACGGTGAGGGACGCCACGCCCACGCCCGCCGGCCCCACCCACACCAGCCCCCACCGCCGCGAGCTGCCCCGACGTGGCCCCGGGGCCCCACTCTTCTCCACACGGAGCCCCAGGTGCCAAATTCGGGCCCTGCTCGGCAGCCTGCTCCCACTCCCACAATGCTCTGCTCGCAAACATATCTGCATACGTGCTCATGGGGCTCCTCCCCCCCCAGTTGGGCCCCTCCCCCTGCCTGCCCAGGCCCGGCGCACTCCCCTGGCCAGCCCCGGCTCTTCAGCGCTAAGAGCCCAGCCGCCAGCCCACCAGGTGCCCTTGCCGAAGTGCCTCTGCTGGGCCCGCTCTCCTCTGTGGACGGACGGCTGCGTCACGGGCTGCAGCCCAGCTCAGAAAAGGAGGGGCCCGACAAAGTTGTAACTTGATTTCAAGAACGCTTCAGTTATGCCCTAGAGTCGTAGCCGGGTCCAGTCCCAGGAATCCAGGGTATCAGAGAGACAAGGGAATAGCTTGTCTTGTGGACCAACTACTGCTGGGGAAAGAGAGAAGCTTCCATTGTGCTTCTCTTTCTCTCTCTCCCCACCAGAAGCAGGTCCAATACAAGAATTACCTCCTGTGACGGGTTGGATCACAGAAACCCCCTTGGGAACGGCCAACTGATGTGCCAAGACTACTCCTGCCCCTGCTCTCCCTGCCAGCCTGGGACCCCAGCACCCTGTCTGGCTGAGCCAGACACGCCCATCTGCTCCAACACAGACCCAGAGTCTGAATTACTTGCCCCAAACAGCTGCAGGCTTAACTGAAAGCAACTTACAGAAGTGTTCCTGCCTTTAACACTCACATGCCCAACTCGCAAGGGGCTCCAAACCCTAAATAAATCCATTTTACAGCTTATACAGGGTAAACTCGTGAATTGTTCGCCCTCTATAACACTGATAGAGAGATATGCACAGTTATTTGCTCCCCCCCGCCACCCCCCAGGTATTATAATACATACTCTGGGTTAATTAATTAACTTAATTAACAAGTAAAAAGTGTTTTTATTAAATACGGAAAGTAGGATTTAAGTGGTTCCAAGTAGTAACAGACATGCATCCGAGGAACTGGGCATTCACCCACGAAAGCTTATGCTCCAATACATCTGTTAGTCTTAAAGGTGCCACAGGACTCTCTGTTGCTTTTTACAGATCCAGACTAACACGGCTACCCCTCTGATACCTGTATTCATCTAGCTGTTTGGTTTCATGTGTTTTCAGTATTAGTGATTTGCTGAGGCAAGGCTTGCATAATGTAGAAAATAACGTACGGATATATTCTTGAGTTTCATTTTTGTTTTCATGCATCATTTTGTTTCTCAAGGAAAGAATTAGAATAACTAGTCCCCATGTTTTCTGTGTTAATATTGGATGAGTTGAAAGGCTGCTCTTGCAGATTTTACTTTGTCATTGTTTGTAGGTCAGTTGAACAGCTGCTTTCTTAGTCTATTCTGTGTAGGTTCTTAAACCGCTCTCCTTAGTATACCTTCCAGAATTGATTGCGTGGTTTGGATCATTCTTTCCCTCGTCTCCCTGCAGAAGAGAAATTTTCCATCCCTTTCCCGTTGGGAAAACGCCACCGTTTTAACTTAGGAAACAGTCTCTGCAAATGTTTTGCCCAGACGAGGGATAGTTCGTAGGAGCAGAAGAGGAGGAAGGTCGTGGCCCTTTGAGTCAGATTCATAGCATTTAAGGCCAGAAGCAACCAGCCGGTCACCTCAGAGAGACTGAGGTGCACCAATGCCCGAGGCCCTGCAATGGCAAGGAATTGATTTGATGCGATTGACCGTACGTTGGAGATAGTTCTGTGGGAAGGAGCAGAAAAGAGCATTGGGGCTGTGGTATAGCGCTTGCATACGCTTTCTTTGACCTGTTTTGCTGTAAGAGTTAACAGGGAGAGATTGTTAGTCCTAGGTCAGTGGGTGAGTATATGCAAATTAGGAGTGTGCAGGGAAACCAGCGAGAGGAAGGAGGCTGAAAGACTTCTCTGCCTTTTGAACAGAATTGTGTGTTAAGGGTTCTTGCTTTGAATTCCTCCATTGGAGTCATTTCGGGGAAGTGATCCTCACTTAGAGTTACCTAGTTCTCAAAGTCACATGAATGGAGTTTGGTGCGTGTCTGGGAGCTCGTCATGGCGAGGAAGAAAGCAGTGGGGGCATTGGTTCTGCGCAGCGTCCGAGGGTGTCAGCATCCCTTGGGGGCTCCTTGGAGCAAAGGGACCAAGCGACTTTCTCCGTTGGATCATATGAACTGGAGCCATAAAATCTCTGAACATTAAATGTCACCAAATGAGGGCCAATCCATTCTCATATCCACTCATTATACTCCGCACATGAACATAGCCACTTTCTGAAGTTCATACTCTCATATCTCAATGTCTGTACTTTAACCCATCAACCTTTTATTCCCAATCGGGGACATTGCGGATTATGTATTTCTTATGCATCAGAGGGGTAGCCGTGTTAGTCTGAATCTGTAAAAAGCAACAGAGGGTCCTGTGGTCCCTTTAAGACTACCAGAAGTATTGGAGCATAAGCTTTCGTGGGTGAATGCCCACTTCATCAGCCAAAAACTTATGCTCCAATACTTCTGTTCGTCTTAAAGGGGCCACAGGACCCTCTGTTGTATTTCTTATGACACCCGATCTTAAACCAAACTTTGCACCCTCGATAAGCTGTATGTTATTCCCTGATAACCAGAAACTTCTAAACTTAAACTCTGTGCCATTCACTTTTATTTTAACATCATCTTAATAAAATTTTTAAATCTGTTCTTATCAGTTTAATATCTGATCTGTCCTTTATTTGAGGACTGTATGTTAAATTGGTTTTTGAAACAGGGGGCTGGAATAGGAGCTTGCTCTGTCCACCTCAGGCATTGACCTGGTATTGCAGTGTCTCTGGGAAGGGTGTATCTCCTTTTGCGAAGAGTCTTCTGGCTGGAAACTCTGAGCGGCGGGAGGCTGAGAGGTCTCACCAGATGTCCCAAAGGATGGCTCAGGTCACCATCAGAGGGGATCACTCTCAGATCCAGCCCCACCTCTTTGTGAGGACCTCCCGCAATGAGAGCACCCC